ATATATATATATATATATATATATATATATACACACATAAATACATATATATTATATATATATACACACACATACATACATATATATATATATATATATATATATATATATATATATATATATATATGTATGAGGGGGTTGCTGTCTTTAAATCTACTACCTTGCTTCCGCAGGATCTGACGCGTACTGTGTCCCTGTGGACATAACGATTGTTTTTTACGCACTTTGGCCTTATTTATGAGTGAATAAAAAAGATAAAACTGTATCCTCTGATTGACACGTGTTTGTCCTTCTATTCTATCCCTACCTACATCTAGCTTTATCCATTAACATTTTTTGTATTTACAGCCAGCTTGCAACATTTTTCAACTAGCTGACATCAATTAATCTTAGTGAGATGTGCGCAATTCTGACATCTGAATTAAATTTTAGTGAATTGAGAATTTACTGTAGATTTTGTTTGCAGAGATGATCTTGACGAATATGACGAGGAGATGATGAGAGATATGTTTTAATAGACTCAAGAATCTTTAATCAAGACACTTTGTGCTCACATACATTTGTGTCAATATTTTAGCATGTTAAATAGTTCAAAACTATATGGATTTTATATACAATGTATTGATATTTTTGCAATATTAATTTCATTATTCCTCAGCATATATAAAACATCTGTATATTATAATACATAGAGGAGTTATATAAAAAAAAAGCAACTATCAAAAATGAAATATAACAATTTATCAATAAAAGAGAGATGCAAGTACACAAGTTGTTTTTATTGGCCAATAAATATGTATTATATATTCTATATATACTTAAACTATATATGAAATAAAGTTTTCCATCTTAATAACAATTTGTATTTATATATGTCAAAGATATTGCTTTGCTTTATTTCTTAATCTTCACTTTATTAACATAAAATCTTTGCAACTAATTCTTGATACAATGGCATCAGTAATATTAGAAATACGCAACTCGTCCTCGTTGATTTTGTAAGTTTTCTTTATAAGATCTAAATCAGTAAACTCCTGTATCTTGGAAACAGGTATTCTTTCACCTTTAATACTATCCAAGATATCTGCTGATATTGTCTGTTTTTCATCGTGCTTGTGTATCAATATCACTACGATATTCTTGTCACTGTCACTGATACCGAATTCATTCAAAGAGCGTGATATATTTTTGGACAACGACAAGCAAAACAGGATTTCTGTATACACATGTTTGGTGGTCATACAATTTCGCTTAGCGTTCAGGACAGCTTTATTGACAGCTATCACTGCTTGTAAAGCGTCTACCATGAGAGAAGCTTTCGTTACGCAACAATATAGTTTACCACCTACAATTTTTTCACGTATTTCGTGGACATTCGTCACATTGATAAATAGATACAACGTACAATAAAGTTGAGTTTCTGGGTCTAACTCAACGGTAAAGTCTTCCATATCTATTATTAGAACATCAATAATATTAAATTGATAAGCAAATATTGTAATAGTTTCAAGTGTTGAATAATCAATTCTGACCTTATATTTATTGTAATTTAAGCGTGACAAGAATTACACGTTGTGTTTTGATGAGAAGTTTATCTCTTTTCCAAGAACTTTCAGCTTCTCTCTTCTTGATTGCAGACCTGTCACGGTGGCCCTTTCACCATCTGACTCTATTTAGTAGTGAACTCAACCTATACTGGAATGCTTACTGCAATGCTTAGAAGCCGGGCACGAAAAGAAAGAGATTGCCGAAAGTATCCATAAACATATATACTAAACTATGCGGTCTGTGCAGAAGAATGAAGGAAACATGGAAGAACAAATATATGCATATATGTAATATTCGTTGAATAAAGAATATCAGGAAGGAGCATGTTGCGATATATCGTGCGTAATCGATTGTTTTGCATTGGTTCAGTTTGATGACGTATTACGTCATAAGTGACGTTACCGGAAACACAGGTTGCGTTCAGAAAACATAGCTGATCAGTGAGCGGTCAGTGATTATTGGTCCTTAGGGCTATCGCACACAATTGACATAACTGCATAGCATAAGACCGTATGTACCAATGAGCATCGAGTATTAAGTCGCCATATTGGTGTTCGATGCTTAATATTCGATGCTCATTGGTCCATACAATCTTATGCTATGCATATGCAGTTATGTCAATTTGTGTGCGATAGCCCTTAAGCATCGAACACCAATATGGCGACTTAATACTCGATGCTCATTGGTACATACGGTCTTATGCTATGCATATGCAGTTATATCAATTTGTGTGCGATAGCCCTTACTGTTAAGGGACGTCTACATTGGAAGTAAATAGCAAGAAGTAGGAAGCAAGAGTAAGAAATTGACCAACCACAGTCGAATGTGAGAAGAATAATCAACTATGATTGGTCAATTTCTTATTCTTACTTCCTACTTCTTACTGTTTACTTCCAATGTAGACGTCCCTTTAGATCCCTAACTTTAAATCAATTACGTTGACTAATTAAGGGATGTCTACATTGGAAGTAAACAATAAGAAGTAGGAAGTAAGAATAAGAAATTGACCAATCATAGTTAATTATTCTTCTCACATTCGACTGTGGTTGGTCAATTTCTTACTCTTGCTTCCTACTTCTTGCTATTTACTTCCAATGTAGACGTCCCTTAACAGTAAGGGCTATCGCACACAAATTGATATAACTGCATATGCATAGCATAAGAC